TAGCATCATCTTCAGTTTGCAGAAGGGACTGAAGCTGACAAGTGTGCGATGACTTACGCCAGTGTAACTGGGATTCTAACCTGGGTAGTCTGGCTTCGGAGAATGTTGTACTCCCTCTGCAGTCCAGTGATAGATCTGCATGGGATGTTAAAACAGTTAAAACCTGTTATCCTTAGTGAAATAAGCCAGTCCCCAAAAGTCAGATACTATGTGTTTTCTCTGATATGTGGAAGTTCATACAGAATACAACAAATATATAGGAATGAAATGGACAACTTGTGTTTTGATTGTTGTTTTTAGCCCTTGTTTTATACTCCTGTGGAACTTTGGTCTTCTTACTTGTAAAGTGTTGAATATTATGGTTAGTGGTGAAATAAGCCTATGATTTTACAGTGGATTGAAAGTATGTCTTGGGTCCAGCGCTGTGGCACAACAGGTTAAAGCCCTGGCCTGAAGCGCTGGCATCCCATATGGGCACCGGTTCAAGACCCGGCTGCTCCACTTCCAATCCAGTTCTCTGCTATGGCCTGGGAAAGCAGTAGAAGATGGCCCAAGGACCCAAGTCCTTGGGCCCCTGCATCCACGAGGGAGATCCGGAAGAAGCTTCTGGCTCCTGGCTTCAGATCAGCACAACTCTGGCCGTTGTGGCCAATTGGGGAGTGAACCAGTGGATGGAAGACCTCTCTCTCTCTCTCTCTCTGCCTCTCCTCTCTCTGTATAACTCTGACTTTCACATAAATAAATAAAATCTTTAAAAAAAAGAAAGCGTGTCTTTGCAAAAATTAAAGAAAAAAAGAAGGAAGAAGGTGGATAGAGAGAAGGAGAGTTAGAGGGAGGGAAGTGTGGTTATCTTCTTAGAACTGAACCTATGAAATTCATGAAATCTGTTCTTTTATATTTATAAAAAGGAAAAACAAAAAACAATTAAAATCATGAATACAGAATAGGAAGTTTGAGGAAAACACAGAAACCCATTTTAATTTTAAATTTAGGAACATCTAAGATGTAAGTTGTACCTATTTTCCGATACTATACAGGGTCAACAAAACATTTCACTGACCTATCTCCTTTTGAGCTGTTCACAGTGGCAATTGAAATTCTGTAACAAAAATTGCCGTAACAGCCTAAGCTTTGGGGAACAAAACAATTTTAATCTCAGTGTCTTAGACAACTATGGATTTTATGTTGTTTTGTTCAAACCAAACTCAGAAACTTCGTTCTCTCGGAAAAAAAAAAAAAAACTTGGAACTCTCATGGAAAATGTTATCCTTCTCTTTTCTCTGTAATATTGATATACCTGTCACACTCAAGCAGGACCCATGATTAATCTTAATGTGCAGGGCTCCTACCCGAGGCCGGATGCTTGAATTTGCTTCATCCTATGCAGTCTGCTTTAATTTTGATTAATTGCCATCAGGAATAATAATTTCTCAGGGAAGATCATTAGGAAGCTACCAAATCGATTATGTTTAGTTACAGAATATGTAAAACTCGTCACCACCACCGACATGATCACAGATGCCCTTTATGTTGCATGAACAGGAACACTTAGATTTCACTTCAACTGGATTTCATAACAAATTAAAAGAGAGTTAGAAATGCATTTTCATAAATAAATAGTTTTTCAATTTGCCTTTTCTGTTCATCAACAGATTCTCCAAATTCTACCATGAAAATCAGTGGTCATAGATGGTAGGCATAGTGGAAATATTTTGCTTTCCATATAAACTTGTGAATATATCTCAGTATATATTTGCAGTAATTCATTGGGAGGCTCATAAGCCCCTCATGCATAAGAAAGGACACAAGCTTACTTATAACCCCACCCAAGACCACTGCCTTAGTTGAGGCGTTGATTACTTCACATTGTGGCGAATGCACCTGCCTCCTTTCTGCAGCTTCCTCCAGTCTTGTGTAGTCCACACTGCCACCAGAGCAACCCTAAACACAAATATTATATTATATCACCACCCTATTCAGTTCTTAATAGTCATAGAGCATCTTTTATATAAGGTGTGAACCCTTACTTGTAATATTCAGGGAAAACATTTTAACTGCTCTTCCATGACTTCAGTAGTCAGATTAAGTCAAGAGGTGCTGTGGTAATAAACCTTCTCCACTTCTCACTGGCATGATGCAACAGCAGTGTGCTTTTCTCTCATTTGAAGTTGGCCATCTAAGGGATGTAGCTCCTTGGTAGAGATTTGATTGCAAAGTTGGCCATTTTAGTACAAGTTCTTCTCTTTGATGGCAGCAGCAAGAGAAAGGCATGGAGAATCGTGCCCTGGCATGGACAAGGTTTTTCCTGGAAGTGGCACATGGCCTCAAGCCTCACAGATCATTGGCCAGCATCTGTCATGTGGCCCTGCTTAGCTTAGTGGGGCAAAGAAATACATCTTCTCCCTGAGAGGGCAGGACAACTGGAAATACTGGCAGGCATTTGGGATATCTACCATCATAGCCTCATATATGAAATGTGAACAACTCAGCATAATACGTAAGGAAGGTCCTTCATGCCCAGACCTCTGCCCACTTCACTAGCCTTCCTGCTGTCCAGCTTCTTCTTGATGCACCCATCCACGCATGCTCAACTGTTTGCTTTTCCCTAAACACATTGCTGTAGCCCATCCTTGCGCTTGACCCTCAGGATGCCCTCTCACTGGGCCGGTCATCTTCACATTTCAGGGTTTACCTAATTACCCCCTACTCCAAGATGCCTTGCTCATTGTGTTGCTCCTCCAAGGTGGCCCTTTTCTGTGTCCCCTTGCTTCTTGGGCTCATTTCTGCATGACCTCTATCACATTCTATCATCGCTAAATATCCATTTCCTCCATTGGACTGTGAGGTTGTTGAGGGCAGAATTTCTGCTTTATATCTAGTGCAGTAGAGCCTAATCCCTCCCCCCACCTCCCTTTTCAGAATCTGCTGAAAGCTCCAAGTTCTAACCTCTACACAAGTTACTGTAAATTTTGCAAATAATTTCAAGAAATTCTGAAACACTCTAGATCTGTCTGTGGAATTTAGGAATCCATGGATCCTGAGTTAAGAAGCTCTACACTAGTTCCTGGATACATCAGAAACAGTTACCACTTTAATCACTGCTTCATACGTGACAGATGTGAGCACTTCATGTGATCTATGCCATGTATTCCTCACAACCATCCTGTGAGGTGATCCTGTAATTATCCCCACTTTGCTGATGAGTAAACTGAGCGACTGCATTTCAGGAACTTATTCAAGACTATTCCTGAGCCTGCCCTCTTAACTACAGCATCATATTGCCTTTCAGCCTTACTGTGGTACTGCACATAGTACTCTACCTCAAAGGCACTCCATAAATGTCCATGGAACTGGGGCAGGTGCTTGGCACAGCAGGTAAGCAAATGCTTCAAATGCCAGCAGCACACACCAGAGTACCTGGATTTGGGTTCTGGCTGCACTTCTCATTTGAGATTCCTGCTAAAGCACACCCTGGGAGGTAGTAGTGATAGCTCAAGTGCTTGGGTCCATGCCACTTACGTGAGAGTCCCAGATTAAATTCCTGACTTCAAACTTTGGCCTGGTCCAGCCCCTCTGGCGCAGGCATTTGGGGGGTGAATGAACAGAAGGGAGATGTTTTTGCTTTGCAAATAATTTTTTTAAAAAAAGATTTCTATTGGATGAATCATAGAATGAATGCAAACAACAGTGATATATCCCAACAGCTATAAATAAAGTTAAAATTGCTCAGAATATAGAGGATTAGCAATCAAATGGTTTGTAACTACTGGGGTCTTTCTCAGTGGAGTAGAAATCATAGATCACAAGCTATGTCCAACCTTCAGGTATCTTTAAGGTTAAGGGGTAGAAAAGGAAAGAACTTTTATTGATACTTATTGTATAGATTGAGTTTTTTTCCTTAACAGAGCACATTGTGCAATAGTGCCAATATATCTTAGACTGCAACTGAATTTTTAAAAATATGTATTTATCTGAAACACAGAGATCTTCCATCCACTGCTTCATTCCCCGTTTGTCTACAATAGCACAGGCTGGGTCAGGCTGAAGCCAGGAGCCCAGAACTTAGTCTGGGTCTCACAGGTGGATGACAGGGACGCAAGAACTGAGCTATCACCTGCTATTTCCCAGGTGTGCATTAGTAGGAAGCTGAAATTGGAAGCAGAGCTCGGTCTTGATCCCAAGCACTCTGATATGTGATGCTTGCATCCTAAGCAGCATTTAAACTGCTGCATCAAACACCTGCCCTCATCAATTTTGAGCCCAAAATTGTCTATGGGGAGGCACTAAAATGAAAAATGTAGTATTACGTTCTTGAAGGCAGGCATTAGTAAACCACAGCAGTTTGTAAAATGCTGGCTCCCTGTGGCATCAACCAATGGAAGTTTTACTGCTAGAACGGAGAAAGGAAAAGGAGGTACAGGGGTAAGTTATTTCTTTATTTTCATAAAGATAAGACTTGGGCCGGCGCAGTGGCTCACTTGGCTAATCCTCTGCCTGAGGCACTGGAATCCATATGGGCCCCGGGTTCTAGTCCCGGTTGCTCCTCTTCCAGTCCAGCTCTCTACTGTGGCCCGGGAAGGCAGTGGAGGATGGCCCAAGTGCTTGGGCCCTGCACCCACATGGGAGACCAGGAAGAAGCACCTGGCTCCTGGCTTCGGATTGGTGCAGCGCGCCGGCTGTATCGGCCATTTGGGGAGTGAACCAATGGAAGGAAGACCTTTCTGTCTCTCTCTCTCACTGTCTAACTCTGCCTGTCCAAAAAAAAAAAAAAAAAAAAAAAAGGCAACAAATGATAGCAAATATGGTCTCTAGTCTAGAGCTCCTGCTCCTGCTAGGATCAGTGGTTCAAAATGTCAAGTAATTGATTGGAGGAGGGGCCTGGCAGGTATGATTACCCCATTTCATGAATCTTGAAGACACAGAACAGAATCTATGTGCCACAACATTAGCAATTCTAATATTGTCCATGAGCAGTTTTAAACATAAGAAGGCCGAGAAACAAGAGCGTATCTTCAGTATCATTTATCCTAAGGCCCATCTTAGTGTGTTTTTGAATCTGATTCAGAAGGTCCCTCCCAGGTAAGCTTTGAATCACTTGTAGCCTGCGTGTGGAGTTCGCCCAGATTTGCACAGAGCCAGTGGATAACCGTAAAGCTCTAGGCGATGTGAATCTCCATGCCTGTTTGGGGGTGGGTGGTGGAGGGTGTGGTAGGAGGGTGTTTCCAGGTCAGCCTCAGGGGTAGGTGACGCTATTTATTGTCCAAGTTTGTGTCCTCAGTGGTCAAAGGACTTGCAGTTCCATCTCATTTATAGCTGGTGATGCTTTCCCTGTAAGTATTCCTTCCTTCCCTCCTTCCTTCCTTTCTTCCTTCCTTCCTTCCTTCCTTCCTTCCTTCCTTCCTTCCTTTGCCCACACCGTTCATCTTCATTGCTGGCTTTGGGTATCTTGGTTTCTCAGTGTCAATGTGTTTGGCTTAAGGAGGATGATTTAAAGCACAAAGAAAAACATTTGGAACTAAACTTAAGGACATTTTTCTGGTTTTATTTTTCTGTAACAAATACTAATGTATTAGCAAGATATGAAAAAATATTTGCTTGAAAAAGTTTTTAAAATTTTCTAATATTGTCTTGAATACTCTTTATAATTAAGCTGTTTTAGATAACTACTGTCTATATGGAACTCTTAGTTTGAAATACAGTCATTTTCTCTTATAAATCATCTGAAGGGGGCTAAATCAAGCCAGCTTTCCACTGAGTTACAGTAATGGAGACTCTAATTATCCAGTCTGCATCTCAAGTTGTGTTGTAATTCATTAAAATTCATTTTTGCTCCTTTTCAGTTGGATGCATTTCAGCACTAAATTCTAGTCTCTTCCTGTTTCAAAAAAAAATGTAGACAGTGAATAGAGTATATTTGGATCTCATTTGTTTGTTAATTTGATTTTGTAATGATCTCTTTGTCCCTTCATTTCTGTAACCCATGACTGTGCCTATCTTACCAGTCAAAATGCAAATTTTCCTAGAGCCTAGCCCCTGCAGTTCCATAGCAAAAGAATCTTGATCTTTCAGAATGATTTGCATGTGGTTGAAGAATTCCCACCACGCAATGGATTTGCACCTGGATGTAAATCCAGAGTAGGCTCCAGGCAGGAGAGGGAGCTGGTCTTTAAAGGGAGGCAGTGTTACAGCCTGTGGAGAATGCAAGCCTAGGCTCAGAACAGAAGGACAGTGAAGCCTGGGGTTTTGCCCTTCTGGAGGGTCTGCATAGGTGTGTAACCACTGATGTTGGCAGGTCAACTGCACATTATCAGAGCTGTCAGATTTCCGTCAGTGGTCTGGACTTCAGCTTTCCCAGATGTCTCTGAGCAGCCGGACTCCGAGAGGTTATCAGGTCCCCTGTCTCTTGGTGGGGTAACTTGTATAAACTCTGCGTGGGAATGTGTATCTTTCCTGCCCGTGGACCATATTGTCTTTGTTCCCAGGCACCCGGGGAAGTCTTGAAGCATTCCAGCTAAGAATGCACAGCGTTGGTGTTGCCCACATGAAGTTTATCTTTGCTTGTTCTGGCATTTGCTCTCTGGGGAGGTTTATCCAGGGAGTAGTTTGTCTCAGGTGTTAGGCTGATTCTCATTTCTTCTTCTCACCCAGTGGAAAGAGCAGGTCTTTCAGTGTCAAATCAAATATAATTCCATCAGGAAGAGTAGACACCTAGGAGAAAAGGCAACTGAGAATGACAAGATATAGTGTATTTCTTCCTCAAACATTTAGAGAAGAAAGGACTATGACTGACCCTGGAAAAGGACTATGACTGACCCTGGAATTCTGCTTTGTATTTTAAGATGTGAGGTGCTTACAAAAGGGGAAAGGAAGCTAGAAATAACTTTTCTTACATATCCAATTACCTGAGCAGTGTTTTACAGACCCAAATAGAGAGAACACAATTTTCAGATTGCACGTGATAGCCCAATATGTAGAAAAACGAAATCAGATTGCTCATCGTGTATTCTTTTACTTAATGTACTTTTTTTGTTTGTTTGTTTTTGACAGGCAGAGTGGACAGTGAGAGAGAGAGACAGAGAGAAAGGTCTTCCTTTGCTGTTGGTTCACCCTCCAATGGCCGCCGCGGCCGGCGCTCTGCGGGCGGCGCAACGCGCTGATCCGATGGCAGGAGCCAGGTGCTTCTCCTGGTCTCCCATGGGGTGCAGGGCCCAAGTACTTGGACCATTCTCCACTGCACTCCCGGGCCACAGCAGAGAGCTGGCCTGGAAGAGGGGCAACCGGGACAGAATCCGGCGCCCCGACCGGGACTTGAACCCAGTGTGCCGGCGCCGCAAGGCGGAGGATTAGCCTGTTGAGCCACGGTGCCTACTTAATTTAGTTTTACTAACAGGAATTTTCAAAAGTATTCCCCTATTGCTAATGCAGTGATTATACTGGCTAAGTGTTATGTACTATAACAAGATAAAAACATTTGAGCTGATTAGGAATTTTATCTAATTACATCGGTCCATTAAAAGATAGTGTCCCTAGGTTGGCTAAACAGCAGAAGTACAACAGCTAAAGCTGTTGCTAGAAATTCAAAAGCTGCCTCCTTTCACTTTTTCTTCCTTTGTCCTGTGGAACATAGAGCACCAAAGGATGTTATTTATATTATTTGGGTTGTATGTCACATTTTTAAAAAAGATTTATTTATTCACTTCAAAGGCAGAGTTAGCGAGAAGGAGAGACACAGAGATCTTCCATCTACTGATTCACTCTCCAAATGGCCACAGCAGCCAGGAACTTTATCCGGTCTCCCACATGGTTAGCAGGGGCAAAAGCAACTTGGGCTATATTCCGCTGCTTTCCCAGGCACATTAGCACAGAGCTGGATCGGAAGTGGAACAGCCAGGATTTGAACTGTCGTCCATATGGGATGCTGGGTCATAGGCAGAGGCTTAATCCGATATACCGTATGCTGGCCCTGTAGGATGACTTTAATAGCTTTCTCTGTAAGTCCCTTCTGCAAGAATCATTCCTTTCAATTGGTAACCATATTTATAATTTAGGCCTTAAATTCCTGGAAACCCTTGGATTTAGCTTAAGGAGTCCTGAAATCTACGAGGTATTCCAAAGAGTTCCTAGAAAATTGACTTAAAATATTATATTTTGGTACAAAAATTTTTGAAATTCATGTAAAATTTTTTCATACCATGCATTTATTCAAAAATTTGGATCTATCTCTGTATGAATGGATTTCAGTTTTTTTGCACCAAAATAAACTTATCTTTTTTCTTTTTTTTTTTTTAAAGCAGAAGGATTTTTAAATTTTAATTTATTTGAGAGGAAGAGTTCCAGAGAGACAGAGAGAAAGGTCTTATTCTGATTCATTCCCCAAATGGCACAGTGGCCAGAGCGGAACCGATCCAAAGCCGGGAGCCAGGAGCTTCTTCCGGGTCTCCCATACAGGTGCAGGTGCCCAAGCACTTGGGACATCTTCTACTGCTTTCACAGGCCATCAGCAGAGGACTGGATCAGAAGATGAGCAGCCAGGACATGAACTGGCATACATTTAGGATGCTAGTGCTGCGGACAGAGGTTTAGCCCACCATACCACAGTGCTGGCCCCAAGCTTATCTTTTCATTCCATTCTCCACCAATTTTCTGAAGTATCCTTATGGATTTATTATCAAGGACAGAAAAAAATATGATTACAGTATATCTATTACTATTTTTCACAGTATGTAGCTATTTAATTATCAATAAAAGCAAAACATGTTGCTTTCATGGTAGCTTTTGATATTCTCAATCAACAGAATCTAAAACAAAACTACTCTTCTTAGCAGAAAAATTAAATAGGCTGTCCTACCTGAAAAGTTTGGACACTACTAGAAACTAGGAGTATAAAGTGTCACCAGAATGACGAATTTCCATTTCAACTAAAGTTCCTTGAGAGCACATGGTCAAAGAAGTTCTTGAGTTCTCAGGATGAATCATGCTTACATAACACACTGGTCTCAGAAGTGTGCAGCGTGAGAGTTTGTGGGGAAAAGGAGCACCTTCTAATGCCCTGCTGCTTTGTTTTCTCAGTGCCCTCCAGTTACCACGTTACAGCTCAGCGGATGACCGCTGGCCCTAGATGTCTGTGAACTCATTTTCGTCATGCTCCCAAGCAGCCAGGATCCACTGAGTCATGGTTAAGAGAGGACTCAGTGAAAAGTGCCCAACTCCACCCCATTCCCCACGGCTCCCGCCTCGGGATTGTGCCTGGGTTGGGACACCTGGGGCAGTGAGAGGTGGCCACCTGGAGGCAGATGCCCCGGAAAGCACAGACAGAATTATGAAGAGAGGAGGTCCCTAGCAGACGGAGCACACCTTCAGTGTTCAGAGTCTGCCCCTGCCACTCTGATATGGAAACAGAACCCGTCCTCTAAACGTCAAATACAAAGAACAAGGGAAGGCGGGAGGGGCCACATTTTGAATCACACCCCCCAAGTTGTCAGCAACCAGGAACGCGTCTACTTCCACACTGAGTAGGCAAATAAAGCCACTTATTTTATATACTCCACAGAAGTTTTTATTGTTTATAAATAATTACAGCTCTCTTTCATGTTTCAACATTCTGGGCCTAAGGAGAGAACGGAGTTGGGCCTGTTAACCTTCGCATGCAACTCGGAGGCGGTTTATGGCTGGCCAGGTGCAAATGCCCTATCTAATCTTTCCCTGTGCCTCTCATGTAGCAGCTGCAGCAGTTGGAGGGAGTTAGGGAGTGATTAAATATCAAGGAAATGTTTGTGCCAATACGGTCCCTCTTCACGGTGGCATGAGACGTTCACAGGTTGTTTTCCACTTAGGAAGAATGATAATTGTTAGCCAGAAAAAGCCATTCCACTAAGATCTCAGCAATAGGGGTGAGGGTAAAGGGACCCATCCAGAGCCTAGAGGGAAATTTGGGACCCTCCATCAGTCTGCTTCCTTATAAGTATCCTGGCCCTTATAGGTGCAGAAGCTTTGACATGCCCTCTCTTTAGCACCTCTGGGTCCCTGTGATTGCCAGTGGGACATCAACTACTCAGAATCAAGCTATATTGACTTCAAGAATAGAAGCTCTCTGTAATCCCCTGTTAATGGCCAAGGATAGGTTCACAGTATCACTTAGGGTAAGGTGAATTGAGGCTTCAAAGAGAACGTACGAGGCAAAAGGAAGGTTTGTAGGAGCTATTTGAAGGGTTTGGTAGTTCATAAGTGCTGGCTGTGATAATCAGTGTGGGCCCTAGGACTCAGTGGATGGCTGAGTTGGTACAAGGCATCTGAGCCCCGGTTTCCTTATCGGCACAACAAGCAGCTAAGCATTGAAAATGGCATTTATTATTACAAGTCTGTATTAAAGGTATACCACAGGGGCTGGCATTGTGGCGCAGCCTATGAGGCCAACATTCCATATCAGAGCACAGGTTCGAGCCCTGGCTGCTCTACTTCCGACCCACATCCCTGCTAATATGCTTGGTAAGGGAGTAGGGAGTAGAAGATGGCTGAAGTACTTGAGCCCCTGCCAGCCACGTGGGAGATCCAGATAGAGTAACAGGCTCCTGGGTTTGGCTTGGACCAGCTCTAGTCTTTGTACCATTTGGACAGTGAACCAGCAGATGGAATCTCTCTCTCTCTCTCTCTCTCTTTCTCTCTCTCTCTCTCCCCCTTCCTTCCCTCCCTCTGTCATTCTGCCCTTCACATAAATAAAGTAAATCTTTAAAAACAAAAAATAAAGGCATGCCATGCACCAGAATAGAGAGATGACAACTATAAAGGAAATAGGACACAAAGATGCACTCTATATGATTGAATAACCATACAACGCAATATTAGCAGAGGTAAAACAATTACCTATTGACATGTCAATTTTTACAAAGATATTAATGAAAAATCAGCCTGGTGAATGGTTTTGCAATCGTTTACCTTCAGTGTTCCATCCTTAGCTCTTCTCTATTTCTTTTTCCTTCCACATTTCTCGAGAGGACTAAGATGGCACCTGTATCAGGTAGAAATTGCATTTGCTGAAGACAACAGAAGCTTGGCCACAGGCTTACTCAAATAAGAGTTGTTTGTTGGCCGGCACTGCGGCTCACTAGGCTAATCCTCTGCCTTGCGGTGCCGGCACACCGGGTTCTAGTCCCTGTCGGGGCGCCGGATTCTGTCCCGGTTGCCCTCTTCCAGGCCAGCTCTCTGCTGTGGCCAGGGAGTGCAGTGGAGGATGGCCCAAGTGCTTGGGCCCTGCACCCCATGGGAGACCAGGAGAAGCACCTGGCTCCTGCCTTCAGATCAGTGCGGTGCGCCGGTTGCAGCGCGCCGGCCGCGCCGGCCATTGGGGGGTGAACCAACGGCAAAAGGAAGACCTTTCTCTCTGTCTCTCTCTCTCTCTCACTGTCCACTCTGCCTGTCAAAAAAAAAAAAAAAAAAAAAAAAAAGTTGTTTGTGTCACATGACAAGAGTTTGAAGGTTTGCAAGGACTGGTATTGTGCCCCGGGCAACTTTTCTCCACTCCCTATTGTTCTTAGAATTTGGTTTTCAATTTACCTGGAAATCCACCATGACTTCTGCTTTTCACCTTGTTGGTGAGAACTGTATCACACGATCACTCTAAGCTGCAAGTTTTGCTGAGAAATAGATTACTCAGTTGGGGCCCATTGCTAGCTACAACTGAACCAAATCACGCATTTGTCAGTAGAAAAGAAGGTGAAGATGAATTTTGAGTATGCAGTTAGCAGTGGCTGTCATGGGACTATTATTTATTTATTTATTTGATAGAGTTAGACAGTGAGAGAGAGAGACAGAGAGAAAGGTCTTCCTTCCGTTGGTTTACTCCCCAAATGGCCGTTACGGCCGGAGCTACGCCGATCCAAAGCCAGGAGCCAGGTGCCTCCTTCTGGTCTCCCATGTGGGTACAGGGGCCCAAGCACTTGGGCCATCCTCCACTGCCTTTCCGGGCCACAGCAGAGAGCTGGACTGGAAGAGGAGCAACTGGAACTAGAACCCAGTGCCCATATGGGATGCCGGCGCCGCAGGCAGAGGATTAACCAAGGGAGCCATGGCGCCGGCCCCGGGGACTATTCTTTATAGTTCAATATTTCCACCTGTTCTCTAAAAATGTTAACTAAATGTTGGATTTCATTAGCAGTATCGCAAAATCTGTGTCTAGAAAGGTGGTCGTCTTTGTCTTTCTGATCAGTACATTCGTGTGACACTGCTCGTGACTGAAGAACCCACACTCAGAGAGCTAAGAGCTGTTAGCTCCTTCCTCGCCTTAGTCTCAGAGGGCACAGATGGTGTTCAAGGCTAACTCCTCCACCCTGTGTTGGCCCTTCCACTTCCTGGGTCCCCAACATACCACATTCTACTAAGTCGTTTCACCTGAGCTATTCCCTCATTCAAAAAGTTGCCAACCTAAAAGAAATAACCCCTACAAAACATCATTTGTAGAATCGTATGCCTTGTAAACAATTGCTTCTTCTAAAATGTCCTTGCAAACCACACTTCATAAAAGAATAATGGACAGGGCCTGGCGCTGTGGCTTAGCAGGTTAAGCCGCCCCCTGCAACACTAGCATCTCACATAGGCGCCAGTTTGAGTCCCAGCTGCTCCAATTCTGATCTAAACCTCTGCTAATGGCCTTGGAAAGCAGCAGAAGATGGCCCAAGTCCTTGAGCCCTTGCACCCAAGTGGGAGACTCCAGAAGAAGCTCCAGGCTCCTGGCTTTGGCCTGGCCCAGCCCTGGCCATTGAGGCCATCTGGGGAGTGAACCAGCATGTGGAAGATCTCCGTCTCCCCCTCTCTCTCTGTAACTCTGCCTTTCAAATAAATAAATCTTTTTTTTTTTTTTTTAAAGTATTGGGCATATTCTGGCTCTACCTCCTTACCTCCCACACACATGCCCTGGACTTGGTAGTATGAAGAACCTCCCCTGTGATGCAAAGTTCAAGTTCCCACTAAGGGGCAGCCCTCTTTATAAATCACACAAGTTTACAAACTGGATGCTCCTCTCTGGGGCTCTTCATTTGTCTGATGTTCTTTCAGGAAGCATTCATAAACCTCTTACAAATTTTGTTTTCACAAATGTGCTCTCTTAAATCAATATAACTTTTAATTCATTCTGAAACTGACCCTTAACTCTGCATGGTTTCATTGACTATACAGGTTTTCTCATTACATTATCCTTAACACAACAAGGCTAACCACACCTGCTCTTTTATACATAGGAAATTATTTTGGTGAGTGTAACTGCATTTATTTACTTTTGAAGATTGATTTATTTGAAAAGTGCAGTGACAGAGGAAGAGGGAAAGAGAGAGAGAGAAAGATATAGCTTCCATTGCTAGTTCACTTCCCAATGTGTGCAACAGCCATGGCTAGGATAGGCAGAAGCCAGAAGCCAGGATCCCATCTGTGTACCCCGATGTGGGATGCACGGCCAAAGTAACTTGGGCCATCACACTTTGCATTCCAGATGCGTTAGCGGAAGGCTGGATTGGAAGCACAGAGTAGTCAGGATTTAAACCAGGCACTGCGATATGGGATGCAGGTGTCCCAAGCAGTGGTTTAACAAGACCTGCCACTACATTTAGTTTATCATGAAAGCAGTGATCTATTGAGTGACAGAGTGAATGAAAGTGAGCTGGTTCCATTTTGAATTATCAGCTGGCTAAGCACCAGTGACAGGAAGGATCTGAGGAAAGAAAACCCACAGTCGATCCCTGGGATTGTCATTTCTCCAGTCCTACACCCTCTGAGAGTGCAACAAACCTGAGTCACTTTGGCAGAACCTTTGGAAGTAGAGAATTTCACAGAGGCATGGAAAACCGTATCAACTGAGAGCTGAATACGGTTATGTTTATGCACTTCCCCAGCTAGAATATGAATATGGTAAGAACACTGGTGGTGTTGGGAAGTTCTCGTTCTCACTGATTTTAAGCCTTAGGCCACTTCTGCAAGCAGTAGTTATGATAAGCAGTACACTTCAAGGAAAAGTGGCCCAGTTTCTAAAGATAGACGTGAAAAGCAATACAAACTTACTATCTTGTTAAGATAGCAAGTATGTTTTTCTTACCAGACAACTTACTTTGTGTTTTTTTGTTGTTGTTTCTTTTGCAGGTTTTGACCTTGACTACTTGCAGAGCTAACTAGAGGATGGAAGGAGAGGGCAGGTCCAGGACCAGTGTGGGTGGAGGGTGAGTAGGGCTATGTAACTGCATCATTTGAGATGAATGAGACTGTGAGAGGGTGTATTGGATCACTGCGTGTGTTTTGAACTAGCACTGCAAACTTTTAAAAATATACCCACATGTGTTAAGTATTGGTGTGCATTACTCGCTCAATGTTTTCATTCCCAGCTTAAAATGTATAAGCCTGAGACAGATAAGGCAAGTGATTTACCCAGTGTCTGCTATTTCCTAGCTTAAAAGGCTCCCCCCTTGCTGCATACAAACACTTGTGTAATTTTATCTCTGACCTCCTTTAGTTTCCATCCCTCAGCTGGGGAGTAGGGAGGCCATAGAGAGGCAAGCAGACTTGCCATTAGAATGAAATGGAATAGGAAGTTAGTGATACTTGGGAAGCAATTCTGAAGCGCATTCAGATGCTAGAAAGAGTACTCCACTACATAAATAGAAGCCCTCGCACCACTGTGTATTTTTCCCAAAACAGACTGCATTTACTGATCAACTTTCCAAAGCTGGTAATAACCATTCCTAAAGATTTTTAAAAAGGAAAAAAGTCAAGCTCCTTGACTAGGTGTTCTTTTAAAATTTATTTTCATTTTTATTTGAAAGGCAAAGAGGCAGGAGAGACAGAAATCTTTTATCCACTGCTTTACTCCCCAAATGCCCACAACAGCCAGAGCTGGGCCAGGCGGAAGCCAGGAGCTAGGAACTCAACCAGGGTCTCACATGCGGGTGGCAGGAACCTAGCTACTGGAGCTGTCACCACTGCCTCCCGTGGTGCTCATTAGCAGGAAGCTGGAGCTCCCAGCTTGGGCTCAAGCACTCTGAAATGGGACACATGTGTCCTTACTGGTTAGCTGTTGTGCCAAACACCCACTTCTGAACCTACATTTAGAACCTGCATTTCAGTGTCCCCATGTCTTACCAAAAAGTATTGTTCAAAAGAGTTATGGCTTAGTGGTAAATAGAAATATGGGAAAAGAATAACCTTAAAGTGTTCCACAGATAAAATAAACAGTTCAGGGGAATATTCTATTAAACATGCTTTCATGGAGGGATCAAATAACATGCAATTATTTTGCAATTACCTTTCAGCCCCTGCTATGTAATTATTCACTTGGTTATATGTGCTTTACAAATTAACACCCCCAAAGATCTAAAAAAAATTACACAGAACATGGTGATTATCTTTGGAGTTACATGGTTTCTCAAAGGGTAATTGCCATTTAATTTGCTAGATCTGGATTCATATCATGGCCTCCTGGTAATCATGTACTTATGGAGTGACTTGTATGGATATTGGGGCCTCAAAGTATTATGCACAACTGAAACATTGGAAAATACTTAGGAACAGGTGAAAACCCCAAATGGTGAGTTCTGTGTGTTTGTACCTGCTCCTGGCCCACACAGGGCTCTCAATCAATGTGGTTGAGTGCGTACGTGAATGTAGATTTGCTCACATAAACACACACCTGAGGGTACCTTTGGTCTCATAAAGGCCAACCAGCTTCCCAAGGTAAGGAAACAGTTCACCCAATAAAGGAAGAGCCATCCCACTTAAAAATTATCCACATTTTTTAAGATCTTTTCACTGATTGAGTGAAGGAAACATAAATGTCTCAACTGTCTTTTAAAGTCAAAAACAACAGAAGGGAAAACACTGTCATTAAATACAAGAAGTAAAAATACACAGTTTGGGAGGGACAGCATTAAACATACAGGAGACTACCTAAAGTCTTTAAACACCAGAGAACTCTATGTTTAATTAAGAGCTCTATGTTTAACTCTGTTTAATTAAGTCTGCCTTGAATGTATA